ATTCAACGAAAGGAGACTGCGACCACACAAAAGGCCACACCATCTTGGTCTTTATACCTTCGATTAAAAGGTCAAAAGACTAATGCTTTAGGTGAGGATGCAGCGGCTTGGTCAAAACCATATCCACTTCACGAGTCCTCCTTAGCCATTGAGCTGCAAGTCTACAGCATTTTTATAATATGTAGGAAAAGCCGGTTTTCGTTTAATCCTATTTTTAATTTAATGTGACTTGATTTTTTTACAAGGAAAAATTGTTTGAAAGGGATTCATAGATTGGCTTTATCGGAAACCTAAGAAGAATTGCTTCTAAACAGACAATTTTGTATAGTGCTTAGAAATCCTTGTCTCCTTATCCTACGACTCCGTGATGAGCTTTCGTCTGTCACGTGACAGATATCTTCAGAGCGAGAATGTATCTTTTTGATGTTGTGATTGTGTAGTATCTAAGTTATTGAAGATGATCGAGGCCCCTTGTTTTCTCCACTTCTCTCTTCTTATCTCCTTAAGTCATAAATAGTTAAATGTTTTCCCTTTCTTTACACTCAAAAATCTTATTATTGAATGTCAAATCTCCATAGCCTGCAAACACTGTTTTTTGAGTCATCCTATTTCATGTCCTACATCTGCCATATATTAGACTGGTTCATAGTTTTGACTCATAACATTTTAAAGGTGGCTTTTTGTCATATAATCCCTGTTTATGGGTCGTGAGCTTCATTCTCCCCCACACTATCTGTTATAACCAGCTATTTCCCTCCATTCTATTTCTAATTCTCTAATAATTTTAGTTGATAATTTTCATGTACCAAAGTATTTATCTATCTGCCTATTTACTACTACCAGTGGTTAATGTTTGCCGGGTGCTGACATTATCATTGATCTCTTAACCCCTACTTTGATTCTAAACACATCTCTTCCAAACTTAGCTTTTGCTACATTTGAAATCCTTAGAGGATAACTTATTTTACTTTTATAACTCTAGTAAAATTGGTTATTTTATCTAGTATATTCAAGTGATTCTTAATTGTCTGCTATGCTGCCAATCAGCAAAGCAGTATTCCATACATTTAACTAGTAGCTTGGAGGCTGAAAATGCTTCTTGACTTAACCGAACTTCAATGTAACTATTAGAAAGTCCTCTTCTTTGCTTATATGACTTACTATTCGAAGGTATAATATAAATTATAAATAAATAAATCTAATGAATGAATCCTTGCCTAACGTTTTACCAATTTAAGTCCAAGATTTTGATATACTTTGACTGAAGCTCATATCGGAATATTACTGTACATAGATTATCTCTAAATTAGATGGTAGATAAATCCAATTTGATATGACCTGTTTAGTTGCAGTCCCCTTAGTAGTATAGCATTGCGAAGACAAGGTCAAGCCAGCACTAT